GTTAAACCGGGTTAATTATAAACCTTAACACTTGTTAGTTGTTAATTACATACCTTAGACACAATGGAGTCAATGATACTTCCGGTTAGCATCAGTTCTGACTCTTCTACAATGTCTATTATCATCTCTTTCACCTTTAATTTTCTCCAAATTGATGAATCCACCGAAAAATCTATTACATAATGGGAGGGTTTTTTCTCCTCTTAAGGTGTCCACATTATCATTTTAAAACATTCACCTCATTAAAAAAGAGTATTTACATTGAAACTAAAATTTAATGACTCAATTAATTTTTATCGTTTAGTTATTATTTTCTATTAGTTACCACACACTATACAATTTAAATTTCACATAAAACGATAATAAAAAAATAGAACAATACAATAAAAATAAATAGAGATTACAAAAACTAAAATAAAAAAATTGATACAAAATTAATATAAATATTTCCAATGTTAAAATTGAATATACGTTAACGATTATGTTTATTTCATAAATTTGGAAAACCTGTAAAACGTTCACATAAAAGAATAAATAATTAAAATTATATATAAAAATATAAAGAAATTCTAAAAGAATAAAAACCAAATGATGATGAATGTTTGAAGTAATGTAGTAAAGTGATTAAAATATTGTGAAGTATAAAATATGATTAGATAGAGAAAATTTGACGTTTGCTGAAAAATATAAACAACTTCGCTACATAGATATGAAAATCAATATATAGTCTAACATGTTATATGTAAGCAAAGAGAAGGGGAAAGAGAATAGATTCACGAAGGAGAACAAATGTGTATTAAAAGATGTAAAAAATTAAATGAGTTAAACAAGTGTTTTAAAACTCAAAAATATGTAGGTATGAGACTAATATAAAAATTTCATATTCTTATTACTATAATCGCTTTTATAAAAACATTCTACCTATATTAGTAAATTAGGTTATCGGATTTGAAACCAGACTAAATTTTGTTTAGTCGCACCAGTATGGTAGGTTGGATGGGGAAAAAAAATTTTAATTTGATAAAAAAAACCTTATAACA